CGCCCTTTCAGCCTTGGGGGCGTTATAATGTGACGGTTAATCCCATATTCGTTGGTAAAGAGTAGCCCAAGAGTTGGCGGTGGGTGGTGATGACTAGCTGCCTTCGCTCTAGTCTTAAACTGCTAAATTAGGGACGGCTAGCGCAGATAGTCCTCGTGTAGCTTTGCGCGAAATTCAAAAACAAACAAAGAAACAATAACACACACATAAAATGATAAAGAAGTTTATATAGCATGTTCAAGAAATCTATAAGTTATCATTTCCGAAAACAAATATATTTTAAGTTCAGTTCCGTATGTAATTCATAGTGTATATTTTATTCAAACATCCAGAAGAGAGTTGTTTGCTTTTCATCCCACGTTAATTTTTTTTCACGAGTTTTTGATGACAATTGTAACACCCGTCTTCAGGTTTCAGGTCTATATTTCTCTTCTTTTTACAAAAATTCATACAGTTTGCGTCAAAGTTATGAACGTTTTTGTGTTTAAACAAGTGTCACCTATCAAGTATCAGCGGAATAAAAATATTTGGTTAATTGTCAGTTAGTCCATAAAAAGACCAAAAAATAAATGCCTGAAGAAAGTTGCTGGAATTTTAACTGTAAGTCTGTGAAACCAAATAAAACAACGCTTCTGATATTTTGATATAGTGTAATAATTATTTTCACAATTAGTGTTTTTGTCTTTCAGCAATTGCCACTTGTGAAACCATCACGTGTCGGCGTAATAAAAAGTGTTTGATTGACCCTAACTCGGGGCTTCCCAGGTGTGTTCAGTGTCCACCCACATGTTCCTGGCTACCTGCAATCCCACTGTGTGCTTCAAATAATGAGACTTACAGCAGCTGGTGTGAAATGATGGTCGATTCCTGCAAGATAGGAGTTGTCTTGGAAACCAGACAAAGTAGACCCTGTGATGAAGTTAATGGTAACAATTTTCTGTAATGTAAGCTAGTTTTGTTGAAGACCAAAAGTAACATGTTTTGACATGATAATGGTGATTAGGACCTATCTGCAGACTAGGGCTAATTTCTAAGAGTTCTAACATCGAATAGAGCACGGCCCCTGCGACTGATGATTCTGGTAGTAGTTATTATGCTTTGTATTTTTTGAACACACACAACTGATAAGGTAGTTACTACTAAGTTGGTTTCTTTTTTCCCTAAAACGTAACACCTTAATTTTTGTAGGGTGAACTTGGAGTACCAAGCCTGTAAGTGAAGTTCTAATTAGATCCCTTCAGAGTGGGCTGTAAAATCATCACTTTGACACTCGAGGCATGCCTCTCAAAACATTGTGCGTGAATGTCTCCTGGCCCCAACGGTTATTTTGACTGACTTTTGTGGAGCAGCATTTTCCCTCCTCCCTGCGAATTTTACTGCCATGATAGGAAGCGCCTTGGAAAGAGGAGCATGTAGGTGACTTTGAAATGACATTGAAAACGTGTTTTGTCTTCGATGTTTTCGGAAAGTAACAGAAAAGCAGATTAGACCCGATACAAAACCATAGTTAAAAAAGGACAAGTTAGAAGTTACAAAACACACACATATATATAGCTAGTTAGACAGATAGATTATGCAGTCTATCCCTTAATATGAATGAGTTTTTTATCATTAATTTTATTGCAAAAGCAATAAATAAAAGGACTCCTTACATTCTCAAGAATTCGCAATTTCGGAAAATGTAATTTAACCCCCAGAGTGTTACTGGAGTAAATATATTGATCCTGTCGCTTTCCAGTAGGGGGCGGTAACAGTTGCACCACCCTCACGTGTTTCCCTAGGTTGTCTGCGGTCGTAAATGGTCCTTGATGGTTTACCTTCTAATGAAAAAGGATTCCAGAGTATCATAACTATCTCTCGGTGTAATGCTTGTCGTTTAGCGGTCAGTATGGCTGACTTGTCTTTTTAGTAAGGGTCAAACAACAAGTAGCGTTTGAAAAACAAAGGCTGGTTAGACCTTGAACTAGCTTTCGTGTCGTGAGTAATTTATAAATGCAAGGGCCATTTGTTAAAACAAAGTAACTGTTTTTTTTTTCCAGTGGATTATTACATACACACTTTACTGAGAAATACTGTTATAGAGCTGACATTTGATGTTTAAAATTGTCTTATGGCAGTTTTACTTCTTTGTGGCAATAAGACAATTATTTATGTCTATCTTACTTCTTACTGAAAATAGCAAAAAAAACTTATAAAAGATGTTTACTTCAATAATTTATCTGAGGGAAACTTCTAAGTGTGTGTTTAATATTTTAAAACATGGGTAACTTGCGAAAATATTTTGAAAATTATAATATTCAACTTGGTTGAAATGGTCAAATTACATATGCTTGTTTCTAACTATTTAACTGACGGGTGTGGGCGGACAGTTTTAACAATTTAAAACTGAAGTTGTAAGCCGAATGCTAATTATGGCTTAACTGAAGCCTTAACAATTGGTGAGTTGGCACCTCAAATACAATATTTAAATATTATGAATTATTTAGTGGAGCGGTTAACCGGTCTATTCTGCCGGCCCAGGAAGAACCCACTCGTAGCGAAAGAATTACACTGTCAATACCTCTAGGATACGGGTTATTCGTAGGTAAATTATATTGGCACTGAGAAAACCAACAGCACAGTAATAAATATGGCCAAAGAAAATGGAGTTTTGAATAAGAAATAAATGACTTGCAGTGTATTAACAAAAAAACTTCGTAGTCGTATACATTGTTTTTACCGTCGTTGGACACGTTTCTGTCTTAAGCGACAACCCATCAAGAAATTATAAAACGTGTTGTTACAAAGTCTTTTTTTTTTCACTTCGATAGAAAATAGGTCATTCAATCAATCGAAGTTGATTTCAGAAAATCTTTAAATAAATTTAAAATTCACCTATAAACTGTCCAGTTCTAGGGATTCGCCACCTTACCAAATTTTCGAAAGAATTAAAATGCCAGTGGTCAGCTTAGCCTTCAATATATTAACTCACATATTTATTTCCTTGATTATCAACTCAATCAGCTGATAAATTAAGTAAATAATCTATAAATCAACAGGCAACATGTTCAAGTTAAGAGCAAAAATAAGATGTAAGTTTGAAACGAGGTAATTCCTTTAACTTGTAACGATTGAAACAGGCCTTAAAATAGTATGTATATAAGCGGAAAAATTGTACCTCTGTTGATCCCAGTCTGCCCATCTACTGGAAATCATTTTATTTGTCGTAAGAATCTCTGGTTTGTTATTTGTGTATTGTACTGTAATTACTTTTAATGAAACTGTATGTATAAAAATCAAATTATTTTAAAACCGTGATCAATATCAAATAGGTTTCGACAAGGTTGAATTGAAAATTACAATCTCCAATCAATGAAAATCCCATGAGTCCATACGAAACTGGGATGAGATTTTGGACCTACTTGTTTTTTGTAAATGAATTTAAAGTAAGTTTCTCCAACGCCCATTTATTTATAGGGTATTGATAGTTTTGATTTTTCACTTTTGGGCATGTGTATTGTTCAATTAATTCCTTCGGTGTTAGTGAACATATTTAAATAATATTAAATATGTTTTTCTTCTAGAGTCCACTTTGGCGAAGTCGAGTATGAATCCTTTGGAACATAATCGGTATTAGAAATCATGTGACAGATCAGCAGAAGGACTTTTGTTTAGATGACCTTTGGTAAAACCTGAACCCGGTCATATATTATTATTATTATGTTGTTGTTTAATTTACCTTCACATTCCGGCGACTAGCTTTCTGAAAGTGTCTCCTTTCTTTATCAAAATGCTTTTATTATTGTCGCCTTGCAGAAATAATGGACGTTCTTTGGGAGGTTAAAAGGCAGTCACTGATGTCATAATACAAACATAAAATAAACTCGCATACCTTGATTGATCTCGAGATAGTCTTATGAAGACACGCATTCATCTTCAGATGATATCGAAGAAACTTGTAGTAGTATTAATTGTTTATTATAGATATAATAACAAAAGTTTCGGCTGACACATATACTTAGTTATATGAGTAGACGACACCTTCATTTTTTTTTCCTCCATTGAAGCTTAATGTTATTGAACTTATAACATACATAATTGGACAATATATATATATATAAAGCTAATTTGAAATTATATAAAGTATATCTAATCTTCAATCATAAATTTTTAATACAGGTAATATGCTTAAAATGACCAACGATCTGAAAATAGTTGGTATACATTGTGAAGCGTAAAGTGCGCCATCTGTTAGTTAAATGGATCATTAAAGGGAAACAAAAGCTTACTTTGGTGTACAAACTAATATAGAAATAAGAATATTTAATATTCAAAATTGGATACTTTAGCTACTCTTTTAAACATAATTTTGGATATTTTCGTTATTCCTTTTAAAGATGATTTTATATTTTCGGTGTCATAACTTTCTATTGGTTAACAAACATTATTATTAACAGATGGCGTCAGTTATATGAAACCAAAGGTTATTTGTACCATAGAGAGTAAACATTTAATCTTCATTTTTTTCACTTTATGTTTGAGTTATTTTCATTATATCAAGCCCATTTTTAAAATATAATATGACTGGAGTGAATTTTTTTTTCTTTTATCCTGTGTTTACTTATGATTAACACACAGTCGAGATATACGGGTCATAGCCATGGAAACTTGTACTTTTTTTTTTGTTAATTTGCATGAATAGAATTCTTGTGAAGGCAAAAATTTGAACAACAATTTCTTTTATTTAAATGTTAACGTTTCTTTTATTGTTTGTCTAAAACGGGTATTGGAAGCCAATTTGTAAAATAATGACAATTGCTTCTGGCAAAGTAGCGTGGTGTTCTGTTATTACCTTTGTATAGTCATAGTTGCATCTAACATTATCTGACATATAACAAAGCCGCATCTCACTGACGACTATTGTATAATTACATGAAAAAAGTAGTTCCATAAAATCAGAATACTAAATATTTTGTCAACACGACTCGGAATAAAGCGTATTCTTTTTTTATTTTTATTTTATCCTTGTTATTCGAATTAAAACTTGCGTAAACATCCCGACTAGTTAAATTCGTCACCACAAAACAACGTATAATAGTTAATCTCAGACTAAGCCATTGGCAACCGAATAAATTGCTTTTGTGAAAGTTTGTGTTAGTGTGCTGGCGTGTAAAATTACCCATAATATTAAGGGGCCATTTAGTGTTTAATGCTTTTTAAGATGTATAAATACAATTCGTGAAACAAAATGTTATTGCTGCTATAAAAATAGTATAGATGCTCCGTTCACTGTTTATACTTAATTAAAAGGTCAATGTTGATCACCAAGATTTAGCTTTGAAGACTAATAGAACTACGGAAGGGGCAATTTTATGTAATGCAGTTTTCATAAAATTTCGTAATTTGCACTGTTTCTTTTTTTCTTCGAAAACATTAGTTCACGTTGAATACAGTTGCACTTCTGAAATAATTTAAAATAAATCCTTTTTTTAGTTATTTTACTTAATGGGTTAACTTTCATTTTTAATCTTGCTTTAATCATAAGTTAGTAATTTGTATGATAACTTCAAGTATGAACGTTTTAAAGTGTAAATCGCTAAAAAAATCTTTACTTAAAAAGCAAGTTCAAACTGAACTCACAGTTTCAACATTTAATTGTTTACATCGTTTTTCTGAAAATACAATAAAATTACATCACACATATTGTCAAGTTTCTTCGCCAGAATTTTTAAATTGCCCTATTGTGCTAATTATCTATCATGTAAGTACATATAAAATATATATTTGGTTATCCCAACGCTATTGTGTTTCTCTATTTCCCTAATATCAGAAATCGCATAGACATCTTTTAAGTTTTTTTTCATTCGATACTTCCTTTTTTTTACCTGTACGTAAATTGTTGATTTCGCCACCCTATTTGTTTTATAAAAGTGAGATAAGAGTAAACATCAGTGAATTGTGAGCCATTAGTTTGTGTTGTTTTTTTTTACCTATAAACTTAAATTCCCACTATTTCATTTAGCTGTCAAATAAACCAACTATATCATGACTGAACATATTTTGATTACAAAAGAGTTCATCAAACATACTGTTGTTGTGAACGTGCTTTGATATAGGTCCACCTTATCTCTCTTTGGTTAACTTGTGTTCAGGGTTACTGATAAGGAGTGGAATCCTTCGAAACTAGTATAACCCAATAACATACGTTGATCAAAGTGTAGATTGAACTGGACCTCCCTTGAACTTAAACTTCGAAATTAAACAATCTTCGGAATACTAAGTTTATTTATTAAAATAGTTCATGAAACTGAATAATCAATTAAATCACACTGCTGTTTGGAATTACTGTTTGTTTTTTGTTTATTTTTTTCATTTATTTCTCGCACGTTTCCTACAAATATTCGCTGTTGGTTGACTCCGACACATATGCGATTTATGATATATTTTTGTTATTGTTTAGTCGCTAAGACATACCTCCATATATTTCAGGTAATGTTTGTGCATTCAGTCATTGATATTGATAGAAATTATGCGTAATTACGTAGTAATTCTCAGAATATGTAATACTGAATATCTACAATACATATTAGGCTGTAAATTTTCTTATGTTAATATTGGGTATTCACTTTATGTAGTTTCAGTAAACATCATAATTAACCCCAATTAACACTAAGAAACTAAATATTTAATCCGCAATAATAAAAGATCTTATAAGAATTATAGTTATTATATCATATTTAACTGTTCTGTATATTTAATAAATGAAATATTTTATCTACTACGACTATATAGATAGAGAGATAAATAAACTTGATACGATTACCATTTAAAAACAGGTAGCTTTATTAACACATATTTCCACTTTGAAGAAATGACTTGTAGCTTAGGTTTTAGTCATTGCCAAAACACAAAAGGCAAATTATATTGGAAAAACTTTGAGGTATATACTAATATTATTTAGGTAGTCTTCTTTTTTAAAGTACGTAGCTCAAAAAACATACCGTATTTTTCGGAATATAAGACGCACCCTTAATTTGAAGACAAATTTTTAGGGGGGAAAAACTACAGTCGCATTTGAAAGATTTTTATTGAACAAAAATTCAATTTAATACTTTAAAAGTTAGTATATA